GGCTCCCTCGCCGCGGTGGCCGGCTGGGCTCCGTTAGGAAGCCATAAACGCAGCAGCGTGGTGTTGCTCGGTCAAGCCACCTGGGGAGCCCCACGGGGACAGGGAAGGACACCGCGCCCCGTGCGGCGTCAGCCCCTCCTGCGGGACGTGTGGGAACGGGAAAGGGCTTTGCGTGATCCCCGCAGCCAGCCTGGGCTACGGGGCACCCCGACCCGGTCCCACCGCCGCGGCAGCCATGCCGAGGAAAGAGGGGGGCAACCAAACCGAAGCCAAACGGAACCATCGACACACGGCCAGAAACCAGTCCTTTGAAGGACACCGGCGACACCGACACCGAAACGTTGGGACTTTTACTCCAAGACTGCGCTTGCAATGAGTGCACGCTGCCCGCGGGACAGCACGGGCACGTGTGTGCGAGCCTGCCTGCGTGTGTCTGTCTGTCTGTCTATGGATTTAGAATATATGTGAAAGAAAAAACCCCGTCAAAGGGAGGGTTAATAGCTCTGAAATGATCTCTGTTGCTCTATGTTTTAATGAAGAAGTTTGTTTTCAAATAACCAGTACCAATTTGCATGTCTATATCGTAAAAATGTATTTAAAATATGGATCTAGAAGTATCTATTTTAAAGCAGCAAAAAAAATTGTTGGTGTGTGAGAGGCTCCCTGCAGACTTGCCTGTCTCAGCTTGCAGCTAGGGATTTGAAAAAAAGGAAAAAACAAAAAAAAAACAAAAAAAAAAAAAAAAGAAGGAAAGAGGGGAAAGAAAGTAAATCTGCAAATGGATAGTACGTACCTGGGAACTGGTAGCTGTAACTGGGGGCAAATCCAGGATATCCTCGGCCATACGTTGCAACAAAATTTGGGTAACCTTGATCACAGAAATGTTAAAAAAAAAAGAGAGAGAGAGAGAGAGAGAGAAGTTTGGTGATTAACGAGGGCTTTTTGTTGTTAAATACAATGCAAAATGACATGGAGGATGGGCGAGACTTGATTTTATAGACAGTATTAAAAAACCTGAGATTTATTCTGCTCATGCGAATGGCAGAAAGGTTTCGTGATGATCTTGGATAGAAACATCCCGCGCTCGCCCGGCCGGCCGGCCGCACGAGCCCTGTCACTCCCTAATTAACATGCACTTCGGCACCTGACGGCCCAGGGCTGTGCACACTTGTTAGCTGGAAGAGTAAATGCCAAACGCTAAGGCTAAACACATAACACGGGTTTGCTCTGACATTTGGAGAGCTTACGATGAATGTACTTTGCTTCAGAGCTATTGACAGTTGGAGATTAAGGCAGTAGTAATTCCTTAACCCGGGAGTGTGAAGGACAACAGTTAACACATCAAAGCGTGCGAGGCAGCACCAGCAACGAGCCAGGGAGCCAAAGAGCTTTTAATTTTTCAGGGAAGTAAAGCCCAGGTAGGCGAGCCGCTTCCTAACGCAATTTCTGAGATCGGCGCAGGGCCGCAGCCAACCTCAGGCCGCTTTTGGAGTTTTATGGTGACAAAAATCCCCCGCGAGATCATTTTCTTAATAAAGATGCGGAAGTAAAGGCATGAGTCATAGAATCATAAATGAATCCTAGAATGTTTTGGGTGGGAAGGGACCCCCAGAGGTCACCCAGCCCAACCCCCCTGCAGGAGCAGGGACACCTTGAACCACATCAGGTTGCTCACAGCCCCGTCCAACCTGGCCTGGAATGGTCCCAGGGATGGGGCCTCCACCCCCTCTCGGGGCAACCCCTGCCAGGGTTTCACCACCCTCACAGCAAAGAATTTCTTCCTTACATCCAGTCTA